CCTACTCTATTTCCTTCTATATATATATATATATATATATATATATATAGCGAGAGAGAGAGAGATATACCTGCCTTCACTAGCAAGGACCAAGTACTGATTTTTGCCCTAGATCCCTAAGTGGCCCCATCAAGGACTGAACTCACAACCCTGGGTTTAGCAGGCCAAATGCTCAAACCACTGAGCTATCCCTCCCCCAGTACAGAAATAAAGAAACTTGTATGTTCTCAGCCTCATCACCATCTGTTCTGAGATTCGCTGCACATTTTACACCATTTTTCATAGGAAAAACATGATCCTATCTCCTACTTTATTTTTAATATGTGTGTTTTACTTCAAAGGCATCTTTAAAGTTTCTCTCCAGAGCTCACGTATCAAGCACAAGTGAAGCTTGGAATAATGGTTCATCAACTACTGACTTTTAAGTTTGTTTCTTTTACCAAAAAACCCAAACCAACAAACTCACTCATGACTATACCATATCCTTCACCAAAAGTCTACAGAACATCCCAGTCAAAACGGTGAGTGCCCGAATGAAATGGGAGATCCAAGTTCAAGATTTCAATTGGTACACTACCCCTAAAGGGAGTGACTTGAGCTGTTCTGTATCAACCTCTTGGGCTAGAAGTGTTGAGGAGCTGCAGAGGGGTGTTGGACATGGGTATTTTTGGGGGGAGGGGAGGTTGGTTAATAGCACAGTCACCATGGTATAAGTTTTTGTGAGTGAAGAGGACATCAAGAGGGGAGGGGGGAAATGGAGGATGGGAGCTATGATACTATACCGTCATTAGCAATAACTGCTCCAAATGCAGCCGTGTCAGTCTTAGAAGTATAGCTGTTAATTTGAAAGACAGCTATCAAACGGGGACAACCTAATTTGAATACTTTAGAAATCCAAGGGGGACACATTTTGCCCCCAACTGCACTAACAACAAAAGGAGTTCCACATGCAGACTAAAGGGAGCACGTGTCCCTAAGATCAACGTTTAAGTCATGTTGGCATCCAGGTATAGATATCAACTCCCAGGGCTGCACTAGGAGAGGATTCTTGGACTCCCGACCTGTGGTTGAAGCAATCTGAGATGAAGCAGCCAGGCTGATCCACAGATGGGGTTGCAGTGGCCAGCTGAGCGCTACTGGAAACCTGTTGGGATGGGCTCGAGGTAGCTGGACTGCCTGACTGAGCAACAAGATCAAAGATGGAGAAATAAGGAAAATACAAAAGTTCAGACAGGTGGAGGGCTATGATGAAAAGCCTGCCTAGGAGACCCCCCAAAATTCTGATGTCTCCAAACACCATTAAGTACTAATCCACTCTTGACAATCCCCTTTCGGTATAATTAACAATCATAGAGGTTGTTAGTTTATCATCAGGGAAGGATGGATTCCTTTTGTGGCTAAAACACAGGGTGGGGAGCCAGTAGATCTCTCTATCTAAATTAGGTATTGCTAGAGTATCCATCATGTGAGTTATATTCCAGACTCTGCTACCGACTTACCCTGTGGCCATAAGGATCTAGGTAAGTGGCTCCGATCTGTGAAATATGAATAATATGGTATAGTACAAAGGGAAGTTATGATAGTTGAGCTGTGGAACACAGATGGGAGGAGGTCTCTGTTGGATTTGTGCTCTTTCAGAATATTGGCTATTAGCAGTAGTTCAGGAGGCTGTTTATTTAATTATATATATTTTAATGAGTATCAAGGATGAAACGGGTATGGTAGTAGATTGCAAATCAAAATGAATACAGTAATAAATTACAATAATTGCAGGATTTATAGACAGACTCCAGGGTTTATGGATCTTCCATTCAGTACCGGAGATTTAACTGGCATTACACACTTACCCATTGTACAACATACAAGCAAGCAAAAGCACTGCAAAATGCTGTGTGGGTGGGGTCATTATATATCCAAGAATGGAAAGAAACTTTTCAAGATATCACAAATGTGGAAAAAATCTCAATTATTTCCACAGCTTGGAGAATGACATCATTGTTTCCATAGTTGTTAATGTCATCAATGGTCTAACTCTAGATTTTATTTCTTTACTGCTAATTATCCTATTATTTATACATTTTCTTATTTTCAAAAAGCCCTTTACCCATAAAGTAAAATTCCTTTCTAAGTGAAACCACCAACCAAATGTGTCACAGTTGCAACATTTCATTGAAAGAGACAGGAAAACAGTTTTTCCCCTTCCCAGCTTAAAAAAACAACCAAGTAACTAAACTAGAGTAATCAAGCAACATCCACATAACTAGACAGACACCAATCCCTACATTAAACTTGGGTTCTTGTTGTTTTGTTTCTTTTAGATAAAGACTGGCAGTGAATTTTTGAAAATAATTTTATTTCATTATTTATATGGAGGTACCCCCTAGAAACTCCAGTCATGGACCAGGATCCCATTGTGCTAAGCTCTGTCCAAACACAGAACATGAAGATGGTCCAAGCTCCAAAATAGCTTACAGTCTAAGTAATGGCCCCCCTAACTGGTCTGTTAAAATTCTACCAGAACAGTGTAAACAGACGTCAACTATTTGCAGCGTATTAGCAGTGAATAGTGGAGCTCAGAGGCCCTGGTGATAGATGTGGTGTAGGTATCTAGCCAGCTAACTACACAGGTGTTAGCAGTGGACAGAATTTTCATCATAATTTGGGGAAAAAAAAGAAAAAAAAGAGGGTGAATAACTCTGAGCAGAATTTGTTTTGCCAGATGTTATGTTTAACTCCTGAGCAATCTTAACATTTTTATTTTATTTTATTTTTTAAAATTCAAATAACAAAAGTTGTGAAGCGTTCAACAATTTCTGGAGGGATTGAGAGAGT